GCCCAGTCTCAATTGCCATCTCAGCATGCACCAGGGGGCGGGGCTGGCACGGCAGGCCTGGGGATTGAACCCCTGCTTGCAGGCACTTTAATCTGCTGAGCTATTTGGCTGGCTGCTCCATTTTTTCAATCCATTTTTTTCCTTCACTGAAATATTTTAAAACAAACGCAAGGTGAGTGTAAGCCATCATGCTCCTTACTTCACTCTACCGTTCTGCTCCCTGGAGACCTCTTATGTGACCCAATATCTTACCCCAAGGGCTGAAGGACTCCTTGGTGTTTAGTCCTATTTCCCTAATCATCTCAAAATGTCTTTTTGCCCCTGATTTATTTGAACCGGGATCTAATCTAGGTCCACTTATATTTGTTTGTTACATCTGCCACATCTTATTCCCAATTCGCGGCAGGATGTTTTAGTTCACACAGGAAAAAACACACTAGGAAAAGCAACCTACAGTGTGGAGAGAGTGATTGTCACGTGCTCCTAGACATATTGACCAAGTGCTGTTTGTGACCACTGTTGGCTGTTGATTTTATTTATTTGTCTGTTTACTTATTTATGGTATCAGGGATCCAACTCAGGACCTCACGCTTGCCAAGCAGGCGCTTCCCCCACTGAGCTCTATCCCTGTCTGGCTATTGATTTTAGTAAATGAGCAGTAAAAAAATATACTTGAAGGCCATCTAGAAAGCATTATCAGTATATTAAGGAGTTACTGCTATTTCTGATGGGTATGGTGGTTTTTTGAGTCGTGCTTATATTTAAAAAATATTTTTATTAGTGGTATATGTTGAAGTATATCTGCATTAAATGATATGATATCTATAATATGCTTTAAATTATTTAGGAGAAGAAAAAGTGTACAACAGCTGTATAAAAAAGTGTTGAAAACAGCTTATTCCACAGGGCAGTGATAGATACTCTGGGTGGGGTGGGGAATTGATTTTGTAGTTTGTACTTTTGAGTATATTTGAAAATTTCCACAGTAAAAGATCTTTAAAAAGTAATAAATAAAAAAGAAGGAAACTAATAAATGAGATTGCTGTGCTGGGAGGAAATTTGAGCAGAGAGTGTCTAAGGATCTTTTGAAAACAAAGCCTTAAGCTGAGTCACCGTGTCCCGGACTCTCTTTGGAGCGCGGGCAAACCCCTGCCGCCTCTCCTTCCCCCTCCTGCTCTGCGCAGAGCCCGCAGCAGCTGCGCTCGCCGAGGCTGACGTGCGACAGCGCCCCCACTGGGAGCCGGGGCGCTTGGAGCACCCGCTGCAGCATCAGCCACCCCATCCTCCGCGGGGGTACAAAGGTGAGCCTGACCTCCTCCAGCCGCCCGGCCCCATCCCTCCGTGCTCCTCTGCGATCCGTTTACTCTTCCCTCTTCCTCAGGTCGTTTTTCTGGTCACCTTTGATGTCTCCCCCAAAGCTGTCCTGGGAAACCGGCTGCTTGTGGTGGCCAACATGACCAGGTGAGCAGGGGGCCCTTCCCTCCACACCCCCCAGCCTCCTCGGCGCCCTTGGCAACCAGCCTTTCTCCATTTTCCAGTGAGAATAACACCCCCAGGACCAGCAAGAGCACCTCCCAGCTGGAGCTCCCGGTGAAATATGCCGTCTACACCGTGATCAGCAGGTACTCTGATGGGGTAGAGGGGCTCTCACCTCATGCAGCAGTTGGAACATCTGGCTTATAGATTTCTTTGTCATCCTTCCAAGCACTTATTAATCCGTGGGGGTTTACTGTGGGCTAGTAATAGAAATGACGGTACCATCATTATAACCTACAATGAGCAGAGACTGTCAGGCTCAGAACCCACGATGGGTTTCCTGGGCATAGGAGACATGTCTCTGAGGTGCCTACAGCTTTGTTAAGGAGCAGTGTCACCATGACCCAAGCCCGAATCGCACCGAGGGCAGCACCCTTGCGTGTGTTTCTGCACCCTGGGATGATGTGGCTATGTTAATTAGCTTTCTGTCACTGTAACGAGTACCTGACATAATCAACTGACAAAGGGAAGAGCGTTCTTTTGGCTCATTGGAAGCTCCAGTCCACGCTCCGTTTGTCACGTGGCTTTGGGCCCGTGGTGAGGCAGCACATTGTGGCAGGAGTGCCGAATGGGACAGAAAGGGCTCACCTCAAGGCTGGAGGAGAGCAAAAAGTGAGGAGGAAGGGACTGTGGCCCCAGGTCTCCTTTAGCATCACAGCCCCAGGGACCAAAGGACCTTCCACCTGGCCCCACCTGCTTTAGGGTTCACCTCCTCCCAGTAGCGATACCCTGAGGACCAAGCCTATAACATGGGCTTTCAGTGGCACTCGTGATACAGGTGACAGCAGGGGGAGGAGGGAGTGAGGCCTCCTGTAAGGGGGCAGCTCAACTATTGTAGCACTGGGCTTCCCCAAGGTGAATTGCTCTTTTATGGGGGTGGGTGGGGTTGAGACAGGGTCTCGCTATGTAGCCCAGGCTGGCCTCAAACTTGAAGCAATTCTCCTGCCTCAGTCTTCCAGGTGCTGGGACTACAGGCGCATGCCACCACGCTGGCCAAATTGCTCTTGACATTTGTGCAGGACAGCTTCTTGCAAGGAATAGGCTTATGCTCTGTGAAGCTCTAGAACCTTCTTCCCCTTTGTCCCTTTGGCAAAAGGAGGGACAGGTGATTTATTGACTGTAGAGGCTGGATATGAGGGAGAAACTGGGTGAAGGCCTCGAAGTGCCATCCATGGTGTCACTAGGAAGTAGCCAACCACTTGAGCAGATGCCTTCCTTCAACGAACATCCTCCCAATAGGTACTATGTGCCAGGCGCAGTGCTGGGGTGACTTTCTATAAATTCACTTGACCTCTCACAACAGTTGATTGAGGGCCTCTGTCATGAGAGGCAAGCACAACGCCCTGCTCTCACGGCCTGGCCGTGTCTCCTCAGGTGCTCTTTTTGGCCTCAGGACTTCACGCTCTCACTTGCGCTCGAACCTCCACTGGCCCCAGCAGGTGTGCACAGGGAGGCTGTGCGCTGGCTTCCCACACCTTGTCCCACAGCCAGGGCCACCTCTAGTCACGTGTCTCTAGCTTGGCCACATTCTGCAGATGTGGCTGTGTGGATGGGTGCTCAGAAGGTGCCGATGTGGAGCAGCTGAGAGGGAAAAGGATGAGACTTCAGAGTAGAAGAAGAGGCCGGGATTTGGCGATGAGGCAGAGGACAGGTTCCTGGGGAATGGGGCAAAGGGGGGCCAAGGCCAAGGGTGAGCAGCCACCACAGAAGGACCTAGTGGCTACTTCATGTCCAAGCTTGGGCCCAGGGAGGCACCCGGAGGTGGTGTGATACTGAGACCCCATGAGGAGCCTTCTGTCCCCCTCAGCTCCAAGCCCCAGGGCTAGAAAAGCCAAGGGAACAGGAGAGCAGGGGTGCAGGGAGGGCGTGTGGGAGCCCCACAAGTGGCCCTGCTCCAGAGGCTTGAGGTCACCAGTGTTCGCCTCAGTCTACCCAAAACCTTTGCTATGTCCCCCACATGTATCAACATCTTGAATGCCCAGGAGGCAAAATATAGTGCAGAGAGGCGCAGGCTGCGACTCCGCCGTGGCTCCTTTCACAGTGCCCTGCCGAGCCCCGGAAGCCTCTGGGGCAGCTCCTGCCAGAGCCTAACCCGGCTCCCACTCGTGTTACCCCAAGGCCCCACTGACCACCTGTCCCATTGTGCCAGATCTAGGGCCTCCTCTGCGGCCCCCACGGGCTCTCGTATCCACTCCTGCCTCTTCTGTCTCCAGCCAGCAGCAGTCAGTCAAGTACCTCAACTTCTCAGCCTCAGAGGAAGAGGGAAGCGGCGAGGTTCTGCACAGATACCAGGCAAGCGGCAGGGCCTCGGGCGCTCGGGCTGCGGCCGGGAGTGGGGTGTGGGCGCTGCTCTCACGCCCTCTGTCTGCGCAGGTGAACAACCTGGGTCAGAGGGACCTGCCCGTCACCATCAACTTCTGGGTGCCGGTGGAGCTTAACAGTGCAGCGGTGTGGACGGAGGTGGAGGTCTCCCACCCCCAGGTAGTGCTGCTCACGGCTGCGCCCGGCTCCTCACCGACGCCCCTCTCCTGGGTGTCCCTTGGCCCCCACAAATCAGCCAGGTCCAAACTGAGATGCTTGCTCCCCGCGTGTCTTCTCCCAGAACCCGTCCATGCAGTGCTCCTCAGAGCGCCTGACTCACACGGAGGCCGACTTCCAGGCTTCCATGCGGAGGAATCCCGAGCTGGTGAGGAGGCTGTGGGCCGCGCCCTCCCTGAGCCGCAGGCTGCAGGACCTTAATTCGGGAACCAGCCTGTGTGCGCTCCTCGAGTCCTGGAGTTGAATGTTGTCTCCCACCTTCGCACATGTCTACACCTGGCCACACACACTGCCTCTCTGTCCCTAGGACTGCTCCATCGCTGACTGCCTCAGGTTCCGCTGTGACGTCCCCTCCTTCGGCATCCAGGAGGAGCTCGACTTCATCCTCAAGGGCAACCTCAGCTTCCACTGGGTCAGCCAGGTGTGTGGCCCAACAGCAGACCCCTCCCCCGGCTCCCTCTTGTGCTCCATGGATCTGTGCCTTCCTCAGGCTGGGACATTTCCTAGACTCTGAGCTTTCCCTGGAGCCCATGCCCCTCAGACCCCTCCTCTTTTGCAGACACTGCAGAAGAAGGTATTGGTGGTCAGTGTGGCTGAAATCACGTTCGACAGATCCACGTATTCCCAGCTTCCCGGGCAGGAGGCATTTCTGAGAGCGCAGGTAGGGACGGTGTGGTGGG